TCGAAGGATGAGAAATTGAATTGTGAATCAAAATTCACAAGATTATATTTATTTCACGAGTGGATAGAATTTCATTTATTTGCATCACTTGTATATTCTTAGTTGATTTAGATAAGTGAATGTATTCAATTTCAGATATAATCTAGAGATAGTGAAAGAACGGAAGAGCTCATTGCCACTTGGTGTTAAGTAGGTACCCGAGTCCATAGACTAAATTGGAATTATGGCAGCCATTATTTAATATATTACAAATGAGACTCACATTGCAATGTCTATGGCGGTGATAATCACGATAATGCTCGAAGGATCATCTAATATATCCACCTGAAACCCAACGGCTAATTTCGGGTAGTCAGCGTACCGAAACGTGGCATAAATCTCAGTTGACATTCACAGCTGGATGGCGGAGATAGCAAAAAATGACAAAATTAAATTTATTGGGAGAGTCAATAAAAAGTTATTTACGTTGGTCGTTGTTAATTATTGAGGTTGGCTGCGGGATATGCAACTGATACAAACGGGGACGTACTCAGGAGATATTGCTGCAGACGCTCATTCCTTGACTCCCGTACCTTGGACTATCGGACGTCATATACGCCTAATACTAATACTGGTGGTGGGACCTCTTGTGAGTCCGCACGGGTAGGTACCACCACCCCGCCTATTTCTGCCGTGAAGCAGTAATGCGTTTCGGTTTGAAGGGTGGGGTAGCCGTTGTAACTATACTGAGACCTTAGAACTTATATCTAAAGACATTTACGTTGTAGATGTCTATAGGCTCCAGTAACCATTTAACACCAGGTGGGCTGTGTGCTCGTCCACCCATCTAAGTAATAAAAAAAAAATTTAAAAATGAGTTTGCCAGAAGAATCCTCTATTTTCTTTTGTAGCACATAGCTGCTTTACGCCAAATCAGATAGTTTTCACTAAACCATCGGTAAATAGTATCTATAAGTCTTATTTGGAGTTCAAGGAAATTTTAAACGTCAGGAATCTTTATATTTTTCATGACAAAGTTATTCCAATTAAGCAACCTGGAATCCAACACTGCAATTTAAATGACTTTTATTCGACCAAGCGGAAAAGTTGGGTTCGTAGCCGGATGAGAGGGGCGTTAGGGGTCACATCAGGTTCAGGGGATATTAATTCCTTAAAGTAGGATTAAGTATTGGAAATTTTAAAATGCAATATTTAAAGGAAAGCAAATTTTTCTTTTTCCTACGTAAGTTGATAGCCTTGAGAGGCTATTTCAGTGTAACCTTAACTAGTAGGTGAGCTCACGGGGCTCAAACCGGAGTGATGCTAACACTGACCCTAGAGCAAGAGCAGTGCTTCGCAGAATCTACCACCGGATCGGAAACGCGACCCACTGAGAAGATCCGGCGAGAAACTCAGTTTGCTGTGTCTATGGGTTGATTCGCTCGCCGAGTCCTTCGTCGCAAGTGACGGGTTCGACAAGGACGGTCACCGGTGCTTTTGGTATCTAAAAGCACCGTTAATGGATCGGGAGGATCCGTAATGACGGAAAGCTAAGGAATTTATTCGGTGTATGGATGTATTGAATGAATTCTACAAGGGTCCGTTAAAAACTAAGACTTAGTCGAACTAGAACAATTAATTTTATTAAGATTATACCAGAATACGCAAATTGATTAGTGAATAATTTGCGTTATACGTAGCGAAATTCTTGAAAAAAGGATTTCTCTGATGAATAGGTACTCGTATGATGAAATCAAGAGTGAAGACTTTCATTCACAAAATCATGAAACTAAGAAATGTAAGTAAGATATGAATCATTCAGAGAGAGCTAGTATATTTTTGGTACTGAATAAATTGATTTTGCGACAGACTATTCACGGACGGGGATATGCAAGAGATATATATATATATATATTTTTTTTTATACAAATCATTGAGTTATTGATATAGATAGCTTATTATTAGGCTAGTCAGAGCTCGGATCCTGATTAGCCCGAAATTATTTTTTCAGTTTATTTTCGCATTTAAAAGCCAGATGTTTGATATTGTTCAAGTAATTTAATCAGTTAGATCGGTATTACAATGTAAATTACTTCAGACTTTGCCTGTCTTTTGCATTCTTAAAACTAATAAATTGTGTTTGTTTCATGGCAAACATAGGTAGAACAGTGTTATATATCCATTCCATCCATACAGACCTCATCAATAGTAATTACGTAAATCTTTAAAAAAAATTTTTTATTCCTTCAGAATAAAAGTTTTTTGTGTATACTTATTTCTTGGGAAACATTTGTTACTTGTTTGCTAGGTTTCAATTTCAGCATAGTTTTATTGAAACGGGTGCTCTTTAAACCACGAATGTTTGAAATCCTTTACCATGAAATTAACGTTCATATAAAACTCTAAGCATGTTCACAGTGCTCACGATTGGAAGACTCTTGGTATGGGTAACACAATCTCATTTTACAGAGATAGATAGAATATAAGTTAAGCCAAATTTCCAGAAAACTCAACTACGTCATAAAGAACTAGTCAAGAAACTATATATACCCTTTTCTTGATTTACGTTGATTGAGCCACTCTTGCATACCCCTATCCATATTTCCTCGGCGGCGAGCCTGATCGAATTTACGGAATACGAACTGATAGTTATGTTCACGACAAAAGCGAATATTGTTTATTTATTGAGCTTGTTACAAAATATTTGTCCTTGCTTTATGCCCAAATCTTTTATAGGTCATGTTTTACTTGGTGTAAAGAGGATAATAATAATAATAAAGCTTTCTTTATTCCACACAAAAATACTTAATTACAAACAATTTGAACATACATTAATGTTTTTTTTTTTATTATTATTAAAATATTAAAAAGTAAAAATTAAAGTTTAAAAAGTTGATTAAGAAGTTAGCTTAGGATTAAAAAGTTAGTTTTTTCTTATATTAATTTTAATATTATTTACATTATTTCTGTATGGACCCCCTTCGGGTAAAAGCCTCCTCTAAGAGACACCACTTATTCTAGTCCTAGGCGGTGTTCGGCCAATCTTTACCAGCCATTGTTATAATTTCGTCTACCCACCCCCGTAAAGAGGATACCAGCTTACATGTGTACACTTAAGTGATCCTCCCATTATGAGACCGGAGGCCTCTGTGTATTGTTTGACGGTTGTTCAATTGTGTAAACTAAAATATTTGACCCGGTACTTAGCACTGTGGTTGTATAATACGCTTCGATACGTCTATTGACAATTCGCTGTTTCTTTGTTTAGTAGTAGAACAAACAAACAAACAGAGCTTCGCATTTCAGTATAATATATTGTTAAGCGCTGGGGTTCGGGATAAATAATTATTTCACCAAAGTTTTAAGTTGTAAAACTGTATTTATCACTTCGAACACATACAGAACACTTTAAAATTCTTAATTCACTTCTTCCGCTTCGCTTCAGGTGATCTGTTCGCTGTTTCGCTTCGTGTAGTTCCGATTACTACTGACTGCGTGCCATCTCTGCAACTCTTTTATAATCGATACGACATCCCTAGAATTATCGAGAATATCCCACACAAGTCGAGTATGGTGTGTTTCAGGTATCTGACAATAGATGGCGTTGTACTTCTCGGTCATTCTCGACGTTACGAGTTCCTTTGATATTCGTTTCGGCTATTCGGCAATAGATGGCGTTACTCTTGCCGGCGTAACAATATAAAAACTGAAATTTGTCGTACCTTTCATAGACCCTATTAACGTTTCATTAGAGGTCATTCATGAAAATCCTCAAACCCAAGACTTTCTCTTGTTTCAGAACGGGAAAGCTACATTATCCTACGAATGTGTGCGGTCCACTCTTTGAAGAGGAGCTGGAGTTCTGGGGGCTGGACTCCAACCAGGTGGAGCCATGCTGCTGGTCTACTTACAGCATACACAGGGACACGCAAGTAAGTCCTCGTGTCGTGGTTTTATTTACTACTAGCGGCCAGCTCCGACTCCCCTCGGGACTTTAACGAAAATTTCAGCGATATTGGACGTTTTTTATTTTTTAAAATAAAAGAACACTTATTGCGGCATAACTATAATAGTTAGACATATGCGGTCTCGACACTTTTTGTAAATAATAAATGTGTACTACAAAGTCATAGTGCATTATTTTATTCTGTCATCATCAATAGATTTTTTATTTTCAGGAATTTTTGTCACTCGGGAATAGTGTAGCTTCCAAACAGTGAAAGAATTTTTCAAATCAGTTCAGTAGTTTCGGAGCCTATTCAATACAAACAAACAAACAAATCTTTCCTCTTTATAATATAAGTATAGATGTGTATCTATATCAGCCTGTGTAGGCAGACAGGATCACGTGTCGTTTTGCGTTAGTAGATTGCTTAATCCATACAAAATCAGTTTGGGTTACGCTCAACAAAATGTGATCTGTGAATTCGTTTGCTCATGGATGCTAAAAGCTAAATTTAAGCGTATTTATTTGTTATGTGAATTTGTTAATATATTCCTTTGAATGTGTATATGTGTTTGTGTATATGTGATATATATATTTACAGTTACGTATGTTATATTATATATGTTTTTGTGTATGTACGTATTTGTAATTTAATATAAATTTCAAATGAACGAATTTGAAATGAATTGAATACACTATTACTATGGACTGGCGATGTGAAAGTATTTTACTTGAAACGGAGATCGCAAACTCAGTGATTATTAAGCATTGTACATTTTCATAATATTTTATAAATATGTCGGAGACGGTCATTAGTTTGGTAGCTAAACGAAACGCAGAACGATTCCCGAGAGATGGCAGCACGATTGCGGTGTCGTCGGAACTCGGCTAACTTCGTGCCACGACAGAGCCGAGCCAATGGAGGCGCGTAGACGCCATCACACTTACCAACTAGTCTTCTTGAAGAGCGGTGTCTCCGTCCTAAGAACTGTCATCCGTTTTCGTTTGCTAACGTCAAGAGAAGATTTCTAAATTGTTCTAAGACAACAAAAGTGATTGTTGTACTCATCATCACATGTGTATAAATTTAAAAACAACCATAATCTCTTTGCAAGAAACCATTAACTCGCATGAGCAACACCAGTTACGTAATGAGTTGGAAATAGTCGGCATTCCAGAAAACAGCAACGAAAATTTAATGCACATACTATTAACTACCTCTAAAAAATTAGGAGTCGAGCTACAAGACACCGATATCGACCAGGTAATCAGAGTTGGGTTGAGGCAATCTGCACCATCATCCTCTTCCACAACAAGACCAGTGGTCGCGAAATTCACCCACAAAAATAAAAGAGATGAACTGCTTGCCGCCGCAGGTACAAGACGTGGGCTAACATCCAAAGACATCATCAGTGGAACGTCATCTACGCTGTACTTTAATGAACGACTGACCAAAACAAATAGGCAGCTTTTCGGTGAAGCGAGAAGGTTCGCAAAAGAACATATTTATAAATTTTGCTGGGTTCGAAATGGTAATATCCTTATACGAAAAGCTCCAAATGGCGATGGTAAAAAAAATCCAGTCTATACCATACGATCAAAGGATGACTTGGATAGACTTTTTCGCGCATCTACTACTTGCCCGGAAATCACCAACGCGACTGCTGACCATGTCTAATCATATTATAATTTATCAAAACATTATATATACTATTGGAATATCTCACGCTTTCAAAAATGTTATGCTGTACATTCGAACTCTCTTCAAAACACTCGTAATATATACATATAACGTGGCCGAATTTAAATTTACCTATAACGTCACACATAATTCATTTAGTCAACATGACTTCCTTAGAAGTAATAAATGACATTGACAATTCTTTTAACATAAAGTGCCACAAAATCGATAAAGCTGAAGAGTGCGCGAATGTTTTATGCCCCTTTAACTTTAAAATACTTAGTCTAAATATTAGGAGTTTGCAATGTAATTTTGACGGTCTTCTAGTCTTACTGAAAAGGCTTAACACGTCTTACGATACCATAGTATTAACTGAATGTTGGATCAAAGAAGGCTCAGTTATAGGTCAACTGGATGGCTATACGTCACATTGCTCTACTAAATATATTAACCAATCCGGTGGTGTAGTCATATACGTTAAGGACACATGGAGAGCCGTAGTCAGTGAACCCGAGCTCATGGACGCAAACTGCTTACNTTACTGAAAAGGCTTAACACGTCTTACGATACCATAGTATTAACTGAATGTTGGATCAAAGAAGGCTCAGTTATAGGTCAACTGGATGGCTATACGTCACATTGCTCTACTAAATATATTAACCAATCCGGTGGTGTAGTCATATACGTTAAGGACACATGGAGAGCCGTAGTCAGTGAACCCGAGCTCATGGACGCAAACTGCTTACTAGTGAACATTCCAAATGTCCTACAGTTATTGGGAATCTATCGCTCCCCCTCGTTTCGAAACAGAGACGCCTTTATAAATTCACTTTCTGATGTAATCACTCATATGGCTAGTTCTCAATGCTAAATCATAGCTGGAGATATGAATATCAACATTAACGATAGTGATAGTTGTTCTGAATATCTAAACCTGTTGGCTCAGTCTGGATATAGGTCAGCAATCGACATCCCTACGAGGAACAATGCTATACTTGATCATATATTCGTAAAGACTCGTGTTCAGTGTGAGTCCATCGTTTGTTTGTCGTCCGTAACGGACCACTATCCTGTAATGATCGGATTTGCGAAAAAACATCAGCCTTCCCAGAAACGCCTCAAACACCTTATTAAACTTGACTATGACTCTATCGAATCAGAACTGAAAACAACAAACTGGTCTACAATTCTAGAATCATCCTGTCCCACAGACGCGGCAAATTCCTTTATGTCTATCCTGACCACCGTCATAAAGAAATGCT